AGAGGATAACATTTGTCAGATCAAATGGTATAATGATGTATGCTCGAGGAAAACATACACAATTAAACATTGGTTGAAAGGTGCACCCGAAATATGAGCTTAAGTAGCATGATCAAGGTTGGAATGGTGATTCAATAATCAATAGTCTAAGAATGAACTATTGACCATTAACTTCAAAGCAATAGGGTTGCTAGAGGGGCAGATTCCAAACAGTACCGTTCACTTGTTGGTATCCTGGTTAGAATCAACACAGGGACCAAGAAAGAATGGTGAAGGTGAGAAGTATCACCATACCAAAAATTCTTAAGAGGTGGAGAAATCCTCACAATATCCTCGTTATAGTAGACAGTAATACTTCAAGGTAGAACATAATATAAACTAGATAGCAAGGAAACCAAGGTATAACTCAAAACACGAAGAAGTTTGTGTTGGTGGGAAAGCAATAAGGTGGTCGATGATAACATAAATCATCAAGGGCAAGGATGGTATTTCTCATCATGAATTCAATTGATATCCTGGAAGAGCTCAGAATGCTGATGATGATCACGACATATTTGTCAAGAGATTTCATGAAGATGTAATTGATCGACGATGACATCAAGTCAAAGGAATGATGAAGCGAAAGGTTATTTGAACCATGGGTACGACACAAACTCGAAATCAAGCTTGTTGTCTAAGGTGAAAGGGTATGACGAGGAAGATCGATGTAAGCTTAACTCGTCATCGAAAGTTGTGCTCCGAGAATAAGGACTAGGTAGCACAGTTAAAATTAGACGATAATGATATAGTCAATCAGGCTAGGAATGAGTTGAAGGATTATTAAACTCGTAAGCAATGAAGATTACTAAGAGTTGTTTAATCAGAGTGTGGAATCGATTCACTTATTGATGTTCTCGAGTGACTATAAACTCGGAACCCCGGGGGTTTGGAATCGGTGATAATAATAGTTGATGAAGAACTCATAAGAAGTTATGTAGTTCCATGATATTCTCGAGATACCAGAGGGTATACTCAAAGGTATAGTAGAATAGAGGTTGGATAGGTGTATTGACCAACAGGAAACAAGTACTTCAACTTGTCCGAGAAATGGGATCAAAGAAGAACAATATGGTCGGAACCACGATTGCAAAGGATCAATTGACAGATACCAAATGATAATATATCAAGGGAATATTTATTATTACATGAAACTTCCATGATAGGATATACGTCGTGTCCATGGACATGAACACAAAGTTCAAGGTCGACTCCCACTTCTTCAATGTATAACCTTCCATTCACCTCTCGCTTTTTTGAAAATGACAATAGTTGTTAAAAGTTTTACCAGGTGCAATACTAGATAAGTATGACCCATGAAATCTTTCGGGTTCACACAGATTAAGGAAGGCATAGGTTCAACCCATCGGGGCATCGTAGAAACATATACCACAAACTTCAATAGTAAATAATACAAACTCGATAGTAGAGCATGCTTGAGAAAGCAGAGGATACAATTTAACAAAGGCATTATGTATATGAGGAAAGGCTCACAAGCTTATTGAATATGAAGTACGTTGTCGGATAAAATCCGACAAAAGGGTCTGGTGGTCCACAAGGGATCTGATGTGAGCATCGGTACTCAACCAGAGGAAGAAAGAATGCAAGGAGATCAGATTGTAGAAACAACTAACTAACTCAAAGCTCAAATGCAAAGGAATTATGAATTCCAAGGCAAGCGGTCAGAAGCAATGCTCTGATTACGGATGGATAAGTTGAATAGACTTAGGGGTACAATCGATGGCAATTTGATTGTTCGAGATCCAGCTCATGTTTAAAATGACGTCTGAGTCAAAAGGATGAATTCTAGCATCTGGTTGAGGAACACGAGCATTCGCACTTATTGAATCAATGGGCTCAAAATGATAGTGGCAAAGGATGCCAATAAGATTACTATACTTATGGGATTAACCATAATGCAAGCAAGCAAGAATTTCAAGAGTAATAAGCTGCTGAGGATTTTTGAAAGATCAAATGGGATTTCGAAGACTTTTGTGAAACACATGAACAACTGGGAATGAGCGGACACTTAGTAAGTGTGAGGAATTATCCGTAGGGGTATTAATGCAGAAAAGAGCTGCAAGCAGTAGACACAAAGGATTCTCGGAATATCAAAGAATTTTTTAGGGTATCAAGTAATAACAAGGGCAACTGGGTACGAAGGTATGAGCGACAAGTGTAAGTAGTTATCCTTAAGGATTTATCGGTGGTCGAGAATAGCAAAAGCGGTGGTCACAAAGTCTCGAGAGAACATCGGAGAGTATCTTCGGAATCTTCTGATGAATCAAGCCATCATCTAGAATGCAGGGGCTCTCCGAGAGGAAGTAGTTACGAGAACCTAGAGTCAGAGTTAGTAAATTCATTATAACCCAAATAGAAGAGAGATCAGAGTCCCATAGTATAGGTCGAGGAATAAAAGATCCTAATACCACCCAATGGCGACGTGGGTCCGTAGGACACACAGCCATGTTAGTAAAAGTTTTTCAGTGACTAGACTCGACTTTGGCCAAGGAGTGTGGAAGGTGGATTCCTACAGGCAGTCGGCTCTACTACTAACTTGTGACACCCCCGATTTGACCGTACACTAATCATACACGCAAATGTGTACAATCAAGGTCAAGGACTCATGGGAAGATATCACAACACAACTCTAGACATAAATTAAAATAATACAAGCTTTATATTGCAAGCCAGGGGCCTCAAGAGCTCGAATACATAAGCTCGAAAACACAAGAGTCAGCGGAAGCAACAATATCTGGGTACAAACATAAGTTAAACAAGTATGCCTTGAGAAGGCTAGCACAAAAGTAGCAACGATCGAAAAGGCAAGGCCTCCTGTCTGGGACCTCCTAAACTACTACCGGTCGTCGTCAGCGGCCTGCACGTAGTAGTAGGCACCTCCAGAGTAGTAGGAGTCGTCGTCGACGGTGGCGTCTGGCTCCTGGACTCCATCGTCTGGTCGCAACAATCAGGTATAGAAAGGGGAAAAAGGGGGAGCAAAGCAACCATGAGTAGTCATCCAAAGTACTCGCAAGCAAGGAGCTACACTACATATGCATTGGTATCAATGAAAGGGGTAGTATATGTGGACTGAACTGCAGAATGCCAGAATAAGAGGGGTGTAGCTAGTCCTATCAAAGACTACGCTTCTGGCAGCCTCCATCCATGCCCCTTATGTGACCAGGAGGATGAAACCATCAATCACGTGCTACTCACGTGTGTGGTTGCGAGATCGGTATGGGCGGTGGTATGCGAGGCTTTGGGCAAGCTGGAATGGTCGCCAATGGCACATGATTCGCTTGCCCTATGGCTAAGGGACAAGCAGGGGATGGGCAACAACAATCGGAAGGATCTCCATACTATATTCCTACTAGTACTTTGGGAGCTGTGGAAGCATATGAATGCGATTGTCTTTGATGGGGCATCGCCTTCAATTGCTAGACTTATCGGTAGGGTTAGGTCGGAGGGAAGGTTATGGTTGCTAGCCGGCAAGTTCAAAGGGAATGTAGACCCCTTCTTCCTTCGGCTAGAGTGGTGGGCGAGTAATGAGTAGTCCATTGTAATGCAACCCTTGTAATCTTGGTGGAGGCATGATTTTGCCTTTCTTCTTTAATATATAATATGCACACTCGTGCATATTCGAGAAAAAAATCGCCTTGAGCATCGTTTTCGTTAGAACAAAGCCCTTTGACTGCATCCGAGACAATTTTGGGATAATTTTTCCTTTGTTGCAGTTACATGTGGGCTTGTGGACTAAAAAACTTACTTCTTTTCTTGTGTGTGGCCATGTCGCTGACAGGCAAAACCTACTCGGAAAAAAGGATAAATATATTTTCTTTGGTATGTACAAAATGAACATATGCCCCATGAACTAATACCCTATAGGGGTTTGGCATGCGGGTTTGCTAGTGGCAGTTGATGCGGCGCTTGTTTTGACAAGTGTATCGTCAATCTAGCATTTAACATTATTTTAATGTCCTTTGACAAATCAATATCATGATTTCATTTATTTTTTCTACTACCAGGGAGGTTTCATACATGTTCCTAATCATCTACTAGGAAATTTTGCAAGCATTTTCTACATAGAACTCTAAATCAAGCTGTCTAGAAATTACTGAACTGTAAATCAAGCTGTCTAGAAACTACTGCAAGATATTTTCTACATATAACTCTAAATCAAGTAGTTCAACGCATACAAGGATGTGGAAAGAAATTCATGGGAACCAAAAAAAATTGTTCAACATAAAAACAAATTCATATGGACAAACATAAAACATCACCATGTTTAAGAGATGACATTTTTTGTATTTTTAAGTTACAAAAAGTTTGCTAGTAGTTACTACACATATGAGCACAGAACCTTCAAAATTAATTTTTGCAATTTCAATTTGGTGGGGCCGCTTCAAAGAAGAGGCGCCCTATAAAAATTAAGTTATGTTGCTTATTGTGGCGTGCACACGGTATTCTTTAGTAAAAGGCGAAAGAGTAGTTCGCTTTGTGCCCACCACGCAGCTGTGTGCTCCACTCCATCGCACCCAAGCTCTCTTATAGAGTTAAATGCACTGGAGGTCCTAAAAGTTTCATCGTTGTGCCACTTTAGTCCTATTTCTTTGAAAATGCATCTTTAGGTCCCAATTCTTTCATAAGTGGTTCACCCGAGGTCCTTTTCTTCACTAGCGCTCGCTGACCTGCCCTCGTGGCACTTTGACCCACGCCACGTCGACACAGGGGCTGCGGAGGCTGCTCTTTTTTACAGAAAACCCCCTAGAAACACTCTTCTTCACATTCCCCGGTCCCTTGCTCTATTTCTTCCCCAAATCCCTCTATGTCTCTCTTGTGCCCTAACCCTAGCCATGGCCGGCACTTCAAGCTCCTCGGCAGGGAAGCAGTTGAAGAAGAGGAGCATGGTAGTGTCGTCGTCAGCGCCGCCACCGCTGTCGGCGCAAGCTCCAATTTCGTCTGGTATGTTGCCGCTCGTGGCTTGTCCTTGCTGCCATGTTCGTGACACCATTGTGTTTCGTTCGAAATCTATTGCCAACCCTGGACGGGTGTTCTACAAGTGCCCCAACCATCGTGTAAGAACCAAGAGTTTGATGTTTTGAAGCCTTTATCTTTGACTCTATCCCATTTCTCTTTTTCTAAATGTGTCAAATTCGTCTAGGTTGGAATGAATCCATGCCAGGACTACTACTGGGAAGATGGCCCAGATAACTATTTTGATTTTCTGGTTAAGAATGGACACGTATCTATTGCAAGAACAGGAAGATCTGGAGGTATCTGTGGTCATTCATTGGGTGATATAGAAAGTGAAGAGGCAGAGGAGGAAGAAGACAGAGGTGTTGAAGTCCAGAAGATTTGCAATTGTGTGATGATTGATGTTGTGAAGAATCTGGATGAGTTGATCTGCTTAGTTAGGATGTTCTTGTTTTGTATTGTCACTTTGTTGGCTGTGATGGTTTATGTAGTGGCTCTGAAATGAATGAAGTACATGTAAGCACTATTGGGATGAACTATTTGAATGAAGTGTTTAATCTGAATTGAAAAGCAAGATTGAGATTTTGGAAGCATTTAGTGTTTGATTTGAATGAAAGTTAACTTATTTTTACTCTTTTTTGTCTCGTGGACGGTCGCGGTGATCGTCCACATTGATGAATAGCTTCATTTTGGTCAACGTGGACGGTCGCGGCGATCGTCCCCAATGATGGTTAGCTTATTTTTGGTTTCACGGACGATCGACGCGATCGTCCGCATTCTTGAATAACTTATTTTTGGTTAATGCGGACGGTCGCGGTGATCGTCCACAATGATGGTTAGCTCATTTTTGGTCTTGTGGACAGTCGAGGCGATCATCCGCATTGCTGATTAGCTTTTGAAACATTCACAAGAATGCATTGACATGTAGAACAACAAAGCTCACATAATAGTTCATTTCCAACATTGCATAGTTCACAGAATAGTTCACTTGGCCATACTAGTACTAGGCAAGCACATAAACATGCCCTGCTTGTCTAGTTCAAAAGACATTGGTGATGGTTTGGATGAAACCTACATCATGAGAACACTAGGTTTAATTTCAAACCAATCAGTGCTAGCCCAAAAGAAGCTTTTTTGTTTTCAAGCTCAAACTACAGCATCAGAACACTTTTCTTCTTCTATACTTCAGGAACTATGTTCTCCTTGGTCTTCACTACCCTTTTCTTCCTCTGCCTTTTTAAACCAAGAGTTGTTGTAGTAGGTCTTGGCTTTGGAATAGCATCTCTATAGTTTGCAATGAATGCACTTTCTGGTAGAGGGCCTTGAGCAGTGGTTTGAGACTGCTGAGTTGATATGGCCTGAAAGAACAACAAATATTTTGAGTTTGAAATGGTTTGACATCAACATAGTTAACTTGAGTATTACAACATACTTGTTCCTGTAGTATCTCCAACACTGAAACATTCTGCTCATACACATGTGTTGTGGTAGATGCAGCCACACTAGTGCTAGCAGTTTCCTTGCAAGATACAAATACAGATCAGCCACACTAGAGCTAGCAAAATATAGATCAGAACAGGATAATTAATTGTACCTTTGGTTTGGACAAAATCTTCCTCTTCACTGGAAGCTTTTTCTTGGTTGCTTTTTGTTGCTGGTTGACAAGCTCCGGCTTGAGCAGCAGGTGCATCTTCACCAGCTGGTGTTGCTTCAACAGGTGCATCTTCACCAACAGGTGCTGCTTGACCAGCTACATCTTGACCAGTTGCTCCTGTTGGACCCCTTCCTAGCTGAGGGCACTTTCTCTTGTTGTGTCCTTCTGTATTGCAAACACTACAATGGCCTACAATTCCATGTCTACTCATCCTTCTTCCCTCTTCCTCCTCAACATGATTCTTCTTTCTTTTTGTACTAGGCCTTCCAACAACTTTCTCATACCTTGGTGGTTTAATTGCAACACCATTAGTTTTGGGCCAATCTTTAGGATCTCTAGTTGGCATTATGACATGACCATAAGCTTTCTTAAATGCAGCTATGCTGTAGGAATGTGACACCACATCTTCAGGTTTAATTCTATCATGCCTTAAACAAGAAATACCATGTCTACATGGAATTCCAGTGAGATGCCAGTATTTGCATGTACACAACATCTTAAGTATGTCAACAGTGTACTGTCCAGTCAAACCTTTGACTTTGAAAATCCCTTTTCCAGCAGGGTATGCAATGCAGTTATTAGACATCTTTATCTATTTTTCCAGTTTCTTCCTTATCTTTGGACATAGAGTCCCACACCACTCCTCTGCCTCCTTATTTTTGCTATAATACCTAGTAGTCAACTGATCCTTGATCTTTTCTAACATAGTAATAATGGGCAACTCTCTAGCATCAAGGATATACCTACATAGTAAATTATGTGATACTATGTTAGTTATCTAGCAGCTCACAAGTAGAGAGATCATTCAAATAATTAAAGGCAGAGGATAGCTGACCTGTTGAAAACTTCACAATTGTTATTGAGAAGTAGGTCACACTTAGGAAGTTCTAGGATTAATTGCCTCCAAATACTCATATCCCTCCTGGGTCAACTCTTTCATCTCTGCCATTCTTGCAAGCCAATCTGCCCTAGTGGTGGCCCTTGAATTTGCCACAATTTGTTTTTCAGGATGTCCCCTTTCCAGTTCTTGGCAAAGTTCTGATGTAGATGCCTTACACAAAATCTATGTTCAGCATCAGGGAAAACAACTTCTACTGCATTGATCAACCCCTGCATTCACATAGAAATACAATTATATTACCAAAAAAACACATGAAAACACAAATAATAAAGGAAGTGTGCATTACATACTAAGATACCTTTTGTCTATCACTCATCAGTGTCCATGGGGCAGTGTTGCGTATGAGAAGTTCCTCTTTTAGTGTGTTCAAAAACCACATCCATGTGTTCTTGTCCTCAACTTCTACTATACCTATGGCAATAGGGAAGATACAATCATTAGGATCAATTCCAACAGTAGTCAACATAATTCCCCCATATCTAGTCTTTAGGTGACACCCATCAATGCATATGACAGGTCTACAACTAGCTAAAAACCCTCTTTTGGCAGCATCCAATGACATGTACAGGCTCTCAAACTTCCCATCCTTAACTGTTAGAAACATGCTGCTCCCAGGATTAGTTGTTCTTATTTCTTCTGCATAGTCCCATAGCATGTCATATTGCTTCAGTTCATCTCCTTTTATTTGCTTTAGTGCAATCCTTCTGGCTCTTGAAAGTTTGCTCCTTGTTGTGGTCATATTGAAATCAAACTGCACTATCCTTGCAAAGTCCTGAAGAGACATTTTCCCATCTGCCCTGAATTTTTTCAAATATCTATTTGCTAAGTATCTTGCAGTAAACTGTTGCAGCTCCCGTTCCTTTGAGCATGTGTGTTCTCCAATGTATTTCTTCACCACAAAGCTCTTTGTCCTGCTGTCAGGTGCAACAAACAAATACCAAGGACAACCCTCCACACAATGAGCCCTAACTCTCTGCTTATCATTCTTAAGATATTTGATATGCACTCTATTCTGCATAATGTACTCCTGTATTGCTCCTCTAAGCTCAATGACTGATAGAAACACCATGCCAATGTGGAAATCAAGTTCCTTCATGTTCTCAGGCCTGAATCTTTTAAGCTTTACCTTCTTCTTCTTTTTCTTTTGTCCATGTTTGTCCTTCACTTCAACTTATTCTTCAGATTTAAAATCCTCAACATTTGAATCTCTGAGTGATACGTCTCCAACGTATCTATAATTTTTTATTGCTCCATGCTATATTATCTACTGTTTTGGACATTATTGGACTTTATTATCCACTTTTATATTATTTTTGGGACTAACCTATTAACCGGAGGCCCAGCCCAGAATTGATGTTTTTTGCCTTTTTTAGGGTTTCGAAGAAAAGGAATATCAAACGGAGTCCAAACGGAATGAAACCTTCGGGAACGTGATTTTATCATCGAATACAACTCAGGAGACTTGGACCCTACGTCAAGACACATAACAGGAGGCCACGAGGTAGGGGCGCACCTACCCCCCCCCCCCAGGCGCGCCCTCCACCCTCGTGGGCCCCCTGTTGCTCCACCGACGTACTTCTTCCTCCTATATATACCCACGTACCCCCAAACGATCAGATACGGAGCCAAAACCCTAATTCCACCGCCGCAACTTTCTGTATCCATGAGATCCCATCTTGGGGCCTGTTACGAAGCTCCGCCAGAGGGGGCATTGATCACGGAGGACTTCTTCATCAACACCATAGCCCTTCCGATGAAGTGTGAGTAGTTTACCTCAGACCTACGGGTCCATAGTTAGTAGCTAGATGGCTTCTTCTCTCTTTTTGGATCTCAATACAATGTTCTCCCCCTCTCTTGTGGAGAACTATTCGATGTAATCTTTTTTTTGTGGTGTGTTTGTTGAGATCGATGAATTGTGGGTTTATGATCAAGTCTATCTATGAATAATATTTGAATCTTCTCTGAATTCTTTTATATATGATTGGTTATCTTTGCAAGTCTCTTCGAATTATCAGTTTGGTTTGGCCTACTAGATTGATCTTTCTTGCAATGGGAGAAGTGCTTAGCTTTGGGTTCAATCTTGCAGTGTCCTTTCCTTGTGACAGTAAGGGCAACAAGGCACGTATTGTATTGTTGCCATCGAGGATGACAAGATGGGGTTTTCTTCATATTGCATGAGTATATCCCTCTACATCATGTCATCTTGCTTAAGGCGTTACTCTGTTTTTAACTTAATACTCTAGATGCATGCTGGATAGCGGTCGATAAGTGGAGTAATAGTAGTAGATGCAGGTAGGAGTCGGTCTACTTGTCTCGGACGTGATTCCTATATACATGATCATACCTAGATATTCTCATAACTATGCTCAATTCTGTCAATTGCTCAACAGTAATTTGTTCACCCACCGTAGAATACTTATGCTCTCGAGAGAAGCCACTAGTGAAACCTATGGCCCCCGGGTCTATCTTTATCATATCAATCTCCTACTACTTAGTTATTTACTTTTCTATTTACTTTGCCTTTATTTTACTTTGCATCTTTATCATAAAAATACCAAAAATATTATCTTATCATATCTATCAGATCCCACTCTCGTAAGTGGCCCTATAGGGATTGACAACCCCTATTTGTGTTGGTTGTGAGGATTTATTTGTTTTGTGCAGGTGCGAGGGACTCGCGCGTAGCCTCCTACTGGATTGATACCTTGGTTCTCAAAAACTGATGGAAATACTTACGCTACTTTGCTGCATCATCCCTTCCTCTTCGGGGAAAACCAACGCAGTGCTAAAAGAGGTAGCAAGAGGGATTTCTGGCGCCGTTGCCGGGGAGGTCTACGCGAAAGTCAACATACCAAGTACCCATCACATACCCTTATCTCCCGCATTACATTATTTGTCATTTGCCTCTCGTTTTCCTCTCCCCCCACTTCACCCTTGCCGTTTTATTTGC